CAGCCTCGCTTCCTGTGGGTTAACTAGAATACTTCCGGTATTTATGCAGATAAATACTTTGCTTTGTTGGCTCTCAGTTCAGAAAAAAGAAATCTGTGCAATTTGTTGTAAAAATGTAAAAATCAGAAAACAGTAGAAAAACAATAAATATCTAAACGACTCTCTGCTCGCACTATTAGCCTCGTAAAGCATAGTTTATCAATGTCAGCTTTGAAATGTTTTTTTGCCCTTTTGCTGTTTTCACAAATAACTCTTAAGTTTGTTGTTGTTGGAGAAACTGCACTTGGCTTTGCATAAAAAAGAGTTTCTCTGCGATCACTCAAAGGTGGTGCACAAAAAGTCCCAAGCAGAAAATGCTACTTCATTCAACTGTTAGAGTTTTTCATTGCTTCAATGGGCATTCTTTTTTCGATGCTGGAACTTTTCTTTTCCCTCTATGTATGAGATGGCGGAAAATGCAGAAGTCTCCCGTTTTTCCATTCCGCTTTTCACATCGAACTTTCATTGAATTGATTAGCTGTGATTTTACAATGAAAATGCACTTCTTTTTCGATAAATTAGGGACCCTTTCGAATATATAATACATATTTATTATATATAATTCGCGCTTTGTAAACTCTGATTTTCGGCCGAGCTTCTCCTCCAATTTGTGGTGTGTGACCTGTTGTATTCTTTCTTTTAGAAAAAATAATTTTTACAATTAAGAATGGGCATCGATGTGAGAGAATAAATAATCTTAGGCTAGAGTAGGCGCCTTCTGATACACTGTTGTTAACTCATTATCAATCCAACTCGGCTTCGTTACAAATTTTTCCTGGCCACGAGCGGTTGGTGGAGGATAGTTTTTCGCAAAGCACGTATATTCAACGAATGTAATTTAATGTTTTGGCCAAGAATTTAGCTTTACTAAAAAGATGAGAGTTTTCCATTATGTTTTAAAAATGATTTCGGGCAAGTGACCAACGCGGTTGCCTCCTATAGATTTCAGCGCAAAGAGGACCCAGCAGTATTAAATAGTATGGTCTTGGTCTCGTCACATGCCAAAGGCACTAGGTAAATGACTAACCAAATTAATATAAGTCAAGTAGCAGCAAACCAAATCCCAAAAAGACACGCCTTAGATATGCAGAAACTCTAATCTTGTGTCCTCAAAATTTTTTACTCATTTTCCTAATTTTTTTTTTTACTATGGCAACAAATTTTCTCACCCTCCTTGATTCGCTTGGAGTTTCTGAATTTTAGCAAAAGTAGTAAGAGCAATTATAAATATGTGTGTCTACTTTTGAAAAATTATTCTAAACAATTTCCACGGTTAATTAAGATTCATTGCAGCTTCTTGCAACTATTTATTTCCATGAAAATGAACAAAATATTTATTGCTTTGCAACAGCAGCCGGGGTGGCATAAAGTTAAACATTCCGCATCGTCAACCAAAACGCTTTAGGGTCATTAAGAAGTGGATGTAGAAGCAGCAGAACAAGGAGCAATCTACTAAGCGTGCTTTGTAAAATACTTGTCACTCCAAAGGATAAATGCACACATCCGTGGCAGATAATATTTGTGGTGGCCATAAGTGGGCTAAGTATTGGAGTGGGCGAGAACAGTAAAAACGAGAGCAGCGATTCTTTTTAACAAATTTAAGCGTTAAGTTCGCTATGCAGTTTTTGGCTCGAGTTGAAGTTAAGCGTTTCTTTAGACGCACTTTGTTGGGATTAGTGTAGATCCGCAGTTCTGCCGAGCACATAAAGTAAGAACACCACAATAAGCAGTCAAGCTGAGTCGAAGAAGCAGCATTTGTAATTTATGACCGGCAATAAGAAGCTACAAATGAAAAACAAGACAAGTGAATGAGCGTTAGGGAGCTCTGGGAATTTCTTGTGGTTAAGTTGATAACGAGTGACAACTGTTGTTTGCTTTGCCGCTGTTTGGTCGCACTCGCCTACTCGCTTTGGTCGTGTCGTGACATTTAAGGAGCAAACAAATAAATAAGCTCGTGCACAAGCACAGAGCAAGGATAACGGCTGAGAAATTATGGGTCGAAGCGTGATTGGCTACTTGTTTGTAAACGATTAGTACAAATAACAGCTTACCCGCCGCAGGAGACACGCGCACGCACACAGCAAGTTATTCAAGGACATTTTCGGTAGCAAACAGAGACACTACATTGAGCATAAGGCAAGACTGATAGCGGCTGGTGCTGCTCGGAAGGAGGAATGGTTTGCTGAATTTTTCTTTTCAAGTGTGCGTGTGTGCATGCTTTTAATAGCTGAGCTTGTTTGCATTTTAGACATTCTTTGCTTGTATGTACGAGCATTGTCTTATTCAATATTGACTTTTCATCGTTTGCTCAAGCCAGTACTTATTGGCGATTTTTCAAACCGCTTATTCGCCGCCAACGATTAGTTACAGTTAACAATATTATTTACCCTAATTAAATACATTCGATTAAATTTGTAGACAAGCCCAAAGAGCAAATAATTGATCAAATGGGTGTGCGCTTTAAGTGTTCATAAATTTCAGACAGCTTAATATTCAATGAATGCTAAAGGAAACGAAAAAAATATTGCACAAATGTTGTTGATGTTTGAAAAAACAAAAAATTAAGGAATAAAAGTGAAAAAATATTAAAAATTTATTTTGGAAATTAAAAAAAATTTAAAAATATTCAGAATTTTTTAGGTAGCGAAAAATAGGAAAAGCCTTAGAAGAAGTGAAATACCATAAACCAACTTATATTGGAGATTTAAAAAATAAATAATTAAAAAATGAAGATAAAATAATGTTTTTAACTTTTTTTTAATATACTGTAGAACATGTGGTATTATACCATAACCATATTTAAATTAGAAATTTCAAGCCTTTGTCTTGATGCTAAAATGGTTTCATACTAGTGGAAAGAGCGTCTGAAATATTACGGAGATGGTTATGAAAATTTCACTAAATTTTCCTAAGCAAGCTGGATTGTGCAAAATTTACAACAAATTCGTTTAACATATCGATTAATTTCTTTGACAGCAATATAAAATTTATTATGAGCACAATTACCAAAAGTATGCGAAACCAATTGTGTAAATATAATTTTTGTAAAGATATATTTACGAAAAGTTAAAAAGCCAATTTTTTATCGCACAATTCCACTTCCGAAGAAAAATGAACTTAAAGAGAAAACTGCTGAAATTCCTACCTTTTACATATTAGAACACAAAAAAATTTAATTTTCAGCATTTTTTTCACGCTGATTGAATCATCAGTAAATTTTATGACAAAATAATACAACAACAATTTACAGAGCTTACATATCCAATATTTGAATAAACACCAGCTTGTAGAGTATTATGCAGCAAAACACGTGCATTATCCTTAATAAGCACTTGCGTAATAAATATGCAAATGAAATTGATAATAAATAAGCGTGTTGTATAATTTAAACGAAATGCGAAAAATAAAATGTTCGGTAAATCTCATACATCTATAATCACTCATACGCAATGGAGTGTCGCGTGCGGATGGATTAAAATCTATCGACATACATATGCACGCACATACACACACAAGGGCAGCAACTAAAAACCGAAGGTGCGAGTTTGGCAATATTCAATATTTGAACATGCCGTCATGTTGCATTCAGGCAAATACATACATACACACATATTTTTGTATACGATTTTGGCCAAAGTAATGAGAAGCATATACTCTGTACTTATGTATGATTGTTACATATAGGGATTAAGCGACGTAGTAGTAGGCAAAAGCATGCTTTTGACGGTCTTCTACTAACGGCACTTATGCACGTGCGCGCGAATTCGCTTTCAATGTGTGTAAAGAAATTTTTTTTTTGTGTAAAAATTGTAGGCGGAGGCAAAAATTATATACATCTTCAATGACTAACTAAAAACTAAAGTAAATATTTTCAAGAAAAAAAAATGAATTAAAATTAAATTAAATAAAAAATTAAAAACAATTAAAAAATGATGAACACAACAGAAAAAACCCTTCCAGGCAAATCGCCTACTTATATATATGCCTTATACATATATTTGTATAACAACTATAAACTTACTCTAATGATAAAGGGTTACCAAAAATTTATTGCGCTTTACAAGTATACGTTTGCATATGGAAGTATGTATATATGTATGTTCACATATAAATTCTATTTTTAGTCATCGGTAGTCATAAATAACTTTATTTCTTTTCCATTTTGATTGTACCGAAATTCCAGAGAATTACCACACAAAATGGCCACTAATCGCTCTGCAGGAACATTACTTCGTACATATGCATGCGCATAATATTTCTGCAAATACACGTACGTATACATATACATACAAATAAATGTGTATGGTCATGTATGTATGTACATACATACTTATATGAATTTGTATTAATTTGCAATAAAAAGAAGTTTCTGCTGATAATGATTTACATATTTACACTTACTCAGACGTTAAAATATCAGAACTTTCTTTTATGAACAACATAACCTCATCTCTGATTTTTCTCAAATGGAAAATACAATAAAGTTTTTGAATAGTCAGGAGTTTGGTTATTTGTTCGTTCGTTCTGTCAGCTCAAGTTTCGGTAGGGAAAATATGTTTTTTTTTTCAGAATATTTTAATTACTAAAAATACAAGAGCCATTCAGAAACCACAAAATTACTTGCCATTTATTGTATAATATTATTCATCAATTCAGCTCATCTCCTATACGGCTCTTTATAGACAGTTCACCAACGTTATCACCTACGGAATATGATGCAATACTTATCAATATTGTGTCATATGGAAAATAAAAGCATAAAATTAAACTTAACATAAATTTAAGTTTTGTTATATAAAACATATAACATTATTTTCTAATTTAATTTAGTTAAAATTTATTTTATTTTGCGCTAAGGACATACAATAAATTTTGTTCAATTTTATTTTATTTTTTTTTTTTCAATTTTTTTTTTTAAATCCATATTAATATTCTCTATATTCTCCCTTTTCTCTTTGCAGCAATGGTTAACAATTCAAAGCAACAACAGCAACATCAGAAACTATCCACTGTGAATTTGTGGCATTTATATGTGTAATAACAAGTATACATACGCATACATAAAAGAATAAATAGCAAAATTCGTGTACGAATACCATAAAAGTGCGGAGAAAAAGTGAAAAGTATAACAGTAATAGCAACAATTGTTATTGTCACAATAGTGCAAATTGTAAATTACAATAACAAAGTTATAACAACATCCAGCGAGTTCTAAGCCCATAGCAAAATATCACCAAAACAAGCACGTGCGCTGCAACAATAACAACAATATCGCGTAAGTTAGAAATGTTTGCAAACGTACATTTGTATTTTTATATATTATATTGTATTATACCCGCAGCAAGTGTCGATATTTGTATTGAAAGAGTGTTATTGGCGTGTGAAAAAATGTTTATTACCAAATATTCACAGGTACATACAAATATGCGTAACATAGCGGAAGAAGCTTTGGTTTTTTTTTATATTTACATATTTTTGATATGTTTTTACACATGTATTGTATTCAAGAATACGTAAGTAATGCATGGAACAAGTTTTGCCCACAAATATGTTTTCAAGAATAGAATTTTGATTTTCTTTGAACTTTGTGCCATTTTTAGGTAAAATTCAATTCGCTCTTTCTATAATTAGATCGATGCTAAAATGAGAATATACCGAATTTGTACGTTTGTACATTTTGCAAAATTTCCTGTTTAATACAATTAATATGTAATTTTTAGCTTTGGCGGCGGGAAGCCAAGCAAAACACTCACTTCTATAGCAACTACACTCATCACTTTCGAGTGGCAATCAAACTGTTGAATGCACGTGTTCATACTACTCCATTGTTCTCGCAATCTTCCCGTAAACGGATAATGGAAATTTCATATTGGTTACATATATGTAACTGTTTAAAGCTTTGTCCATCGGTGTGTTTGTTTATGCGCATGAAAAGATAATAAAAAATGTTTACAAATTCTTATTCATTGACTAATCGCGCAAACATAAAAGCCCAAACAATGCAACGTATAATTAATAAAGCAATTTATTTAATTACAAAAGCTTAACTACCGGAATATTACGACTAATAACACTAATATTAACTGTGTATTATTTATTTACAAAAATTGTACGTTCCATTTTTATATCAGTACCATTTTTGTTGGTGTTTTTTTTTTGATTTTAACATAAATATTGTAAATTAAATGTAGATTTTAAATAGGAGCCATAACTACACTGTAGTGTTTGTTTTTCGACTAATAGATAGCTGTTGTTATCTTATCAAAGAACTCACATTGAATACGTCTAATTGGTTAGCATGCGCAACTACTCATTGCTGTATTGGTATTGGTAGACAAGTTTTTAATATTCTGGTTAGTAACTAAATTGCAGTTTTCGTTTATCATAAAATTTTACTTTAGTTTTTATTTTATTTTATTTATTCTTTTCTGCTTTAATTTATTTAATTTTATTTAATTTAAATTCATTTTATTTTATTTTTCCAATTTACTTCCCTTCCACATTGTGTATCAATATTAAAACCATCTGCCGCTTAAAGTGTGACTTGCCTCATTTAGAATCGTGTATGTACGTACGTATGTATGCACATCCGTATGTTATGTTAATGTATAACGAATTGATATTTCAATGTTCATTTCGCTTTTACACGAATTCTTTTTTATTATCGCTTTTTACAATACATCGCGCTCTTCTTTCATTAATGTTGTTGTTCTTGTAATTGTAAATTAACTGTAAATAAATAATTGCTCATTTTGTAATTAAGTCAATAACAGCACGAGCTATAAACAAAACATAAACAACCACAACAACGGCAACAACAACAACGGTAATGTGCAAGCTGATTGCAAAAACAGAAAACAGCAAGCTTTAAACCAAAAATAACAAAATAAAGACAGTTGAGCGTGAAATAATTACGCATAAATTTCAAATGATTTAAACGCTCGACCAACGCGGAGTGGCTCAACAGTGGCAGTGACGGCGTGTTAAGCTTTGGCTTAAATTGCGGATTTGTACATATGTATATTAAGATAGATACGTACTTGTATTAGACATTTTTCAGCTAGCGTGTGAAGAAATATGTTTTTCACCACATTTTGCAAAGCTTTATTTAAATAACAGCTGGAATAAATAAATTAATTAATTAATGAGTATGAAATTAATGGGTCATAATTTCTCAAGAACATTTACTTTTCAACCTAAATTTAGTTTTATTTTTATGTTTCTTTTTCCTTTATGAGGTTTGAAAGTTTTTTTGCACTTCTAAAACATTTTCCACTATTTTTTTTATTATTGCTAAACGGAAACATATAAGCCTACTTAATGAAATGATCCCAATTCGATTACTCCAATCAGTTTTACTCAATTCACTTGGACCTAAGTCAACTTCATGCAGCTCAAGTCAATTCCATTTGACTTAAGTAACCTAAAATCAACTAAGCCATCAAATAACTGATGAAACTGTAAATAATTAATCCTATCTTTCATATTTCATTTATCGATACATAAAGTTTTTCTAAGAAAAGCATTTAATTTCAGATAGATAGTAACTAGTATTTGTATTTATTGATTGAAAATTGCTTAAATACAGAATTTTTTATATTTAACTGTTATTATATATTAACTAAATTAACTATTATGCCATATATGTAAAAATAAAATTAATCGATCAACAAAAATTGAAATTTTAAACAAAATAAAATATGCACTATTTGCACAATTTGCACATATATGTATGTACATAGTGTGACAAATTAATGAAAATTATATACATTCGGCCGGCTCTTGTGTGATATACCAAATGCGCGCCATGGTCAAGGTTGTTGTCGGCCATTCATTTGACAGACAGCCACCGACACTGTCGCTTCACGTGCTACCCAGTAGTGAAAAGTAATGCCTACATAGTTGCAGCGTGTAAAGGTTCTAGTATGTAGTGAGATCAAATATTTACGACTAGTGCACTAAGTGCCACCAAAGGCATATGTAGCTGTTCACCAATACCCTTCAAAAAATTTTGGACCATATGGTCCATTGGATCAATTTGCGTCTCGTTACCGCCCTGTAGCTGGAAGACATTTGTTCGCGTTTTACCTGTCGCAATAAAAAAAATTACACTACCAAGTCACTGGCATTTTGTGTTAATTTTAATACTCTCTATGAGTGAATTGCTATTATTTTTCTCGGAAGAGAAATATTAAGGAGTATTTAACTAGTATAAAGCTGTGAGTTGATTTATTGTAGGTCAACGCATTTCACCGGCATTTTGTGTTAATTTTAATACTCTCTATGAGTGAATTGCTATTATTTTTCTCGAAAGAGAAATATTAAGGAGTATTTAACTAGTATAAAGCTGTGAGTTGATTTATTGTAGGTCAACGCCTTTTTATACAATATATGCCAAGATGGAAGATGAATTAGTTAGTGTAAAGCTATTAGCACACTAGTCCACAGCTACGGCCTTTCTCTATGGCGTAATGCTACAATGAATCGAGCGCCGCTCTTACAAGTAGATATGCATATACATATACGTAAATGCTGTGCCAAATACCAAAAGTCCATGTCACATCACTCGACGCGCTGCCGCTGATACTGACTCCGACACGCCAATTCGATGCGGCTAAGATTTAATGAAATGAAATGAACACACTTGGAAAGTGGCTCATAAATAAACGAATTGTATGGCGATAAACACATATGTATGTACTCGTATATATAATATATTATGCATATATGCGCATGTGTTTTCCTCTGCACACCACTGTGAGTCGAATGAAATTGATTAGCATTAATTAAAGGGCTTACAAGTAAAAACTCTATTGACGACATGCCTCTTCAAGTTTGAAAGGATGAATGTGCTGGCATGTATATGTGTACATATGCACAAAAAAAGAAACCCAAAACAGTAAAAATATAAATTCAATTATATATTATATAACAATGTATGCATACGTGTATGTCCTTATATAAACTTGGAAGTTTGCCTGTTGACACAAAAAGCCTCAGTTCACTTGCAACATTTTTCAACTACCAACCAATTTTAATATAAAAAATTAAAAAAAGCCATTTTAAATTCCAATAATTGTGCATAGGACAAGAAATTCTTTGCGCCACCCTAATGTGCTCATATATTTTTACTAGTTAGCTTTTATGAACACTACCCGCTACTGACATTATTTATAGATGCGACAATTAGCCAAAGACCACTCACTCGACACACTCTCTGCGGCGAGCCAATTAAAGAAAGATCGTGCCGAGTGTCGCCGTCTTTGGTCCATGTTTTTTCGTCGCCGTCGATTGAATGATGCGGCGAATATTAAATTAAATAATTGACTTGTAAGGCTAAGTAATTAGCTTAACCCAGACGCCACTGTATGGATATGGGAAGCATTGATTGAACGATTTTCACGCACACACATATATATCAATTTTTACTCACAACCGGAATAAGATGCGTAATGTTTTATTATGTGCAATTCTAGAAATTATGTGTGACACATTTAGCATCCAAATGATATGGTAATTGCGGTGAATTATAAGAAAATTTTGCTAATTTTAATAATAAGCGGCTTTGAGCCGAAATTCACACTCACTCTTTTGATTAGTTTAGTAATAAAAACAATTTGCTCTTATTTTCATACAACAAAATATCGAATTATTTTTCTTTCTATAATCTCAAGTCAGGCATGGTTAAATTACGTCAAGTGGCCGCTGGGGGTTTTGTCGTCACATCAAACAGCTAACCGCATGCTAAGAAAATTAAACTACACCAAACATGACTAACCATTTGTATGTATGTATATGTATTCGCTGATTAGGCCTTCTTCCAGATGGATTTATGATGACCAAAATTATGCTCACTAAATAAAGTTAGACTTTAGCCGAAAACAAAAGTGAACGCAACACACAAGCCCACTTGATTATTATCGACACCAATCAATTACAAAGCCATAAATAGAATAATATACTTGTTCATATGCGAATCGTCGTAATCGTCGTAATCGTCTTCATTTTGTTGCTTTTCTCTTTTCTTCGTTATATCTTTATTATTTTAAGTGCCGATCAGCTATGTACGTATGTGATAATTGTTGTTGTTTATGTTTGCTATGAATAACGAGCACTCGACGTCAAGCTGCTAAAAGAAACTGAATGTTTTTACTTACTATTTTCGACTATTATAAAATAATAGGCAGTATTATTTTATTTAATTTTTATTATTGTTTTATATATTATTTTTTATTAATTTTTTTTTATTTAATTCAATTTTATTGCAGATTATTT